TATATAGTGTCTTTTTTGTAGTCAGCAGAAATTCAAAGGACTTTTTACAGTGCAAAGGTGAACCTGGATAGAAAATTTCCAGGAATTTTCCTGGTTCACTCAATGGATTTGAAAACAGCAAACCTGGTTTTGTTTCATGTAAAACTCAACATGGGGAAAGAGAACATGCTTATAAAAAATACAAGAGCCAGGATATGAAAATAATCCAAATACACAATGAGAGATGAATTAATTAAAAAGCTTTTGTTGGATGGAGCAATAGGACAGTGGGTAGGGTGTTTGCCTTGCATGCGGCCGACCTGGGTTCAATTTTCAGCATCCCATATGGTCCCCTGAGCAATGCCAAGAGTAATTCCTGAGTGCAGAGCCAGGAATAACCCCTGTGCATCGCTGGGTGTGACCCAAAAAGAAAAAAAAAGCTTTTGTGTATATTTTAAATAGAATATTATACAGCAGGGCTGGAGCAATAGCACATCGGGTAGGGAGTTTGCCTTGCACGCAGCTGACCCAGGTTTGATTCCTTCATCCCTCTCGAAGAGCCCTGCAAGCTACCAAAAGTATCCCGCCCGTTTGGCAGAGCCTGGCAAGCTCCCCATGCTGTATCCAATATGCCAAAAACAGTAACAACAAGTCTCACAATGGAGACATTACTGGTGCCCGCTCAAGCAAATCGATGAACAATGGGAAGACAGTGCTACAGTGCTATTATACAGCAATAAAAAGTTTGAAATCATGTAGCTTACTGCAACTGGGGTGTAACTGGAGGGAATCATGTTAAGGTTAAATAAAATAAGTCAGAGGGAGGAAAAATACTGGATGCTCTCACTCATCTGTTGTAGTCATGTAGAAGAGCATAACCAGGAAATACTGGCCTGGAATGATGACGAGCCCTTTGCCTTGAACTGGAAAACTGAGATAACCAAGGAATGGGAAAAAGGGTGGCGGAGAAGGAAGAAGCAGAATAAAAGCAATTACAGTACACACTAAACTTTGAGAAACAAAGGGGAGAAAGCATTGCTCCTAATGAAAAAACCCAGCTCAGTCATGTGATCTTAAACACAGGAGATAAGCAGTATTCAAATATTTTAGTTCCATAATTTTAATCATATTTCATGTGAAGCAGATAACATTGATGTATAAAGTTAAATTAAAAATTTTAAAAATCTCCAATAGGGTTTGATTTATTGGGTTAAAGGGAAGAACCTCTCAATCGGGAGAGCTCTGTAAATACTTGAGTGACATAGTCAAAGACAGAGGTGTATGTGAGGGTTGGTTGGAGAAGGGGGGAGAGAGACAGAGACAGAGACACACATAGAGGGGAGTGAGAGAAAGGTGAGAGAGCGAGAAAGAAGGAAAGACAGAGTCAGAGAGAAAGAGAGAGAGGGAGAGAGAGAGAGAGAGAGAGGACAGAGACGGAGAGGTGGTGGAGAGAATTCCCCTTTACATAATCTGAGGCATGCAATATTAAGCTACATGGATAGTTAACTAATACAAGTTCTCCATTGATTCAAACTTCAGATATCATAGCATATTAACAGTATATTCTAACATAGGCCCAATGGGTTGAAAGGGCACACTCTCACGGACAGCCCATGGGATTAATACCAAGTTTTGAAACAATAAAATTTTCTCTACTGCAATTTTCTCTACAAGACAATTCTCTTGGCTAGTCAATACTTAAGACTTTGAACAAATTATGTATGACTAAATTTTGGGATGTACCAGATCCCAAAATAATTTGATGTATTAAAAAATATATATTATATATATAATGCATATATATCTATATCTAGATATATATGACTCTCAGAGAGCCCGCCAAGCTACCGAGAGTATCCCGCCTGCACGGGCAGAGCCTGGAGCCTGGCAAGGCTCTGTGGCATATTCGATATGTCAAAACCAGTAACTATAACAGGTCTCATTACCCTGACCTTGAAAGAGTCTCCAATTGTTGGGAAAGATGAGCAAGGAGAGGCTGCTGAAATCTCAGGGCTGGGATGAATAGAGATGTTACTGGTGCCCACTCAAGTAAATTGACCAACAATGATATGACAGTGATATAGTGATACAGTGATTAAAAAAATAATATAAATGATTGTTACTGTGTCTGGCATATCGAATACTCTCGGTAGCTTGCCGGGCTCTCCGAGAGGGGCGGAGGAATCGAACTCGGGTCGGCCCATGTTGGCCGCTTGTAAGGCGAACGCCCTACCCGCTGTGCTATCGCTCCAGTCTTTCACAATGTTTTGGCCTAAAGAATTTTCTGGCCCTTCTCTTTCCAAATTTCTTTTTGGTCTGGCCCACCTCCCACAGCCGCCATCATGTTAACTCCCCCCACTGGCCCTGCTCTACCAATTCAAGACTAAGTCTCCGAAGAATGCAAACCAAACAGCTAAAATTCATGAGCACATCAGTCCTCACAGATGAAAACTCCACGATACCCTTAGGAGGTGGGAAGGTCAAATACCTACACCGCCAGAGTTCCTGCAGCATCACCCACACTCCACTGCTGCCATCATGCCAATGGCTCAGCTCCACCCTTCACTAATATTCTCTGCCAAGATGCCAAATTGCAAGTAAATCCATATTACTCTGGTTCCCAGACTGGAAATCTGGTGTCTTCTTAAAGTAGGTGTGAACAGCATTCCCCCACACTCCCATAATTTCAAAAGCCCCAGCAACCAGCCCCCACAGACCACCACCATGTCAACACATTGGCCCAGACCATCCATCCTGAAGTCTCTGGATCTCCTAATGCTTCAGTATTGAAATTTCAGTAGGAGCACACCAAATTAGATAGGAAAGTGGCATAGAAGCCAACTAAATTCAACAAACAAAAGCAGTCACACAGAAGGCATAACTAGCAACAAGCAGCTTAGTAAATTCTTAGACAAGGACCTAACAAACGCGTGATGAGATATAGCAATTTCACAGAAAAATTGATTTTTATACTAATCAATTTTAATATCAGAGCTTTGCTATTTAGTCAATTTCAACTCTAGAATCATATGGATGGTTGTGTCTTTTGTATACATTAAAATAAATTTTTAAGTTTCTTTTGGTCTTTCTCTTTTTACTTTCACATTTTCCTACAAACATAAAGAAGTTATCAGGGCACAACTTTTAGTTTGAGACCCTCAGCTAAATGTCCAAGTTTCTCAAAGTTCTACTTCTTACACAACTGTAGAATACTCTGCAGCTACCATTTGTGCCACTCCAAAGAAAGAGTCTCCATTTCTCCAATAGCAGGTATCACTTATCGTTCTATTTATCAGATATCATTTATCATTTTAGGCACCCAACATAAGCACCTTTTAGTTCCAGGTTTTAGCCAATATTCTCCTGTGAATAGTGCATGAGTTAGGTAACTCTATATTTATTTGAAGTTTTAGACTCCCAGAGCGTCTGTTTATTACCAGGACAGAAAGAAGAGAACACTGCTGAAATTGACTGAAAGAACTTTCATTCACATCGGTTGAGTCTTCCAGAATAGGTGACTGGAAGAATTGATCTTCATCTTCACTCTTCAACTCAAAAATAATTTCCACTCAGGCTTAGAGCTCAAGTAAACCATTTTCAGTAATTTTGTAATACAATTCTTTTATTTATACAAGTCTTTTATTTATATTGTGTCTATTCTTGGTAATTGGATCAATCCACAACCCACTATGCTTTTCTAACAGATAACTGCTTGTCAGGGCTCACTTGAACTGCTTTTCTCTCATTGAACAATGTGGCCTTAAGGAGATCTAGGGCAGAGGGCACAGAGCAGGAGGCAAAGGAAAGCAGTGACTTAGCTGCAGAGCAGTGCCCAAGGATTTGCTCTTGAGTAGACTGGTTGGGCTTATGGAATGAAAAAATTCAAAGATTTTTTCATGTGCCCTTAGCTAAATAAATGGTGGTTATAACATAGAGGTTAAGACTAAACATTGCGAGAATGTCCTTACCCCGAGCCAGGATGGGGCTCTGGAGCACCTCGGAGGGCAGGGGGTGTTGAGTTTCTCTCCTCCCTCTAAGCAGAACCCTGGCAGCCGAAAATCTCCAGAACTCAACCGCCACCATGCTCAAGGCCACTCACTACACGTTCAGAAGAGCCTCACCCAAGAGGGAACCGGCAGAGAAACCCAGGTAATGCAGGACCTGTGATTGAGATCTCCAAGCCCGCTCGGATTGGGACCGGGCCTCCTACCTGCAGCTCCCCAGTTTTCCAGCAGCTTGACAGTCACACCCACAAACTGCGCCTGGTGCCATGTAATCTCATCAATGGCCAAAATCCAGAGACTGTCCAGAAGAGAGTCATACAGAATTACCTACACCCTATCTCACTTACTTATCAAAAGTAGCACACATTTGTTTGGTTTTAACTTGCTTGTATTCTCTTACATACGGGCATAAAAGGCTCCACAATGAAATGCAACAAACTTCATACACTTCCCTCTTATTGTGGTAGGAAGGTGCTTGGTGGTGGGATTGGTGTTTGAATATTATTTGTAATAAACTATTGAGAACTACTTTGTGAAAATAAAACATATAAATATAGAAAAAATTTTAAAAAGACCAAACAATGCTTTTTTCCCCCTTTTTTCAAAGGGGCACATAAAGTTGGCAGTCAATCAAGATATAATTTACACATGCTAGAAGGAAATTCATTTCAAAATCTTCAGGCAGCAATGCAGACTCTGAGAACGAGACTTTTATGGATCCAAGTCATCCTTCCTTGGGGAGAGAGTGAATCTGAAGGAAAATGTTTATTACAGTTTTTTTCTCAACAAGGAATAAGGGACGCTGGGAAGATTGACGGAAGTTTTCAATGGTAAAGAAATAGACTTCGCACATTAACATAGCTCCTGGGCTCACCTGACCATATTTGCTTCAAAGCAGCCGTATCTGTGAACATCTTATCAGATCCAGACTTGTACCCTTACTTTCTCCCTATAGTCTTTTCTGGGTGGGTCCTAAAGCTCCACCCACCTGACAGTAGCTAAATGTCTTGTTCACAGTTCGTGACAGACATCCTACTCAAAACCACAGAGAGACACTTCTGAAGACCAGCTACAAGAATCCGGTGAGGGTCACCAGCATCGGTGAGTAGGAGTTAATAAGGTGCTATGTGGGGGAGATGGGGTTTGGAGTAGGAAAGGCACAGAGTGTAACATGTAGGACCATACTTGCATCTGTTTGTTTAGGCCCTTGAAGTGCATCTTTAGTTGTTATCAATTTTCTGTTTGACTTTACACAAAGTCCTTTACCTGATACCTATTCCACAGGTTTGAAGCAAGTGGTTTGCCTTTTCTCAGGAACTAGGAGGTTTCAGGAGATTCTCTCACAACCCACAAGGTTTTAGTTCCAGAAAATAATACTCTTGAGATGGATTTGGTTGGAAGATGGATTATGGTGTTGAAGAGGAGGGACAGTGGTAACCTGGAAAGGGACAGTGAGCAGGGACACTAGAAAGATGAAACCTTTCTTACAAGCAGAAATAGCTTCTCCTTTTCAGGAACAAATTGACACTGAAGAGTCCTTACAGACTTCTGGTCTCCTCAGAGTGGCAGAGTTTTGCTTTCTTTTCACATACCCAAAAATCTGGGTTTGGCTGCTTGTGGTGAGGAGAGATCTCCTGGGCACCAACCTGTGGATCAGAGGCCATACTGTGGAAATCATTGAATGTGAAAAAAAGTGAAATTGAGAAAAAGTAAGAGTTCTGAATGTTTGGCTTCTTTCTGACAGGAGAAAATCTGAGGGGCCAAATCTCCTGAGAAAATTCACTTCAACCCTGCTCTTTTCACATTTAAATATGGCAGTATCCTCAGTCTTGACCAAACTGCAGGCAGAAGTCATCTGTCCCATCTGCCTGGACTATCTGAATAACCCCTTCACCATCATCTGTGGGCACAGCTTCTGTGCCTCCTGCATCAAGATGTCATGGAAGGATCTACAGGAAAATTTCCCTTGCCCATTATGCCGTTATCCACAAGAGGAGAGATACTTCAGAGCTAATCATCACTTGGGAAGGCTAGTTGATCTGGCCAAGCTCCTCCACAGGTCTAATATCAGCCAGATGAGGCAAGAAGAAGAAGACATGTGTGAGGAGCACAACCAGGTCCTGAGCTTCTTCTGTGAGGATGAACAAAAGCTGGTGTGTCTCCTGTGCATACAGACCCCTGCCCACCAGGGCCACCTTGTGAGACCTGTAGAGGAGGCCGTCTTACATCACAGACAGAGGCTAAGTCAATATGTGGAGCCCCTGAAGAAGCAACTGGTAAAAATGCAGAAACTAGTAGTCACCCATGACAGGAAGTTACAGAGATTAAGTTATCAGATTGAAAAGCAAATAGATCAATTAGGCTCTGAAATGGGGCAACTGAACCTGCTTGTGGACTATGAGCGAGAAGCAACATTCTCCAGGTTGGATGAAGAAAACAAACACCAACAACAGAAACTTGGTGACAACATCACCGCAATTTCTGACCACATTGACACCATGAATGATCTTTTCAAGGAGCTGGTGGAGAGGAGTGTGATGTGTGAGGGGAATTTGCTGAGGGAAGTCAAGAGTATTCAGCACAGGTGTGAGAACTTGGCGTCCCCAACTGTGTGTTCAGTTCAGTTCAAGAAGGAGGGCTATTGTCTTCCTCCGCTGTACTCGGTGTTCGACAACATTGTTCAGAAATTTCAAGAGGAAGTGACTCTGGATCCCCGCACAGCACATCCCAGTCTGTATATATCTGAGGACAGAAAGGTTGCCATCTATGTGAAGCAACGATCAAAAGTTGATGGGAAACCAATACTAGATCTTGATGATGTAGTGGTCCTGGGCTCTGAAGGGTTCAGTTCTGGTCGACACTACTGGGAGGTCCAGGTGGGTGACAAGCCTAAATGGGCCATAGGGGTGTGCACAGATGCCACTACCAGCAGTGACCAGTGGCCCCTGTCAGGTCAGAATCGATCCTGGATGGTCCAGTTGCAGGATGGTAACTACTTAGCTAGAGGCTCTGTACCTGTCCTTCTCTCTTTGAAGGACAAACCCACAGGGATTGGCATTTACCTGGACTATGAGTTGGGTCAGATTTCCTTTTATGATGCCAGCGACAGGTCCCACATCCATTCTTTTCTGGAGAAATTTTCTGATGTACTAAAGCCTTACTTCTGTGTGGGCCAGGACTCTACTCCTCTTGTGGTGTCTGCAGTAACAGATTCTACAGAATGAACTTTGCTTTATTTTCATCATGTCATTTTTATTTTGGCAGCACAGTAGAAGATGTTTCTACTCTCAGCAAATAGCAATGAAATAGCAATTCGAAGACACTAATTTCTTAAAATACTTGGAAAGAATTTTTCCTGCTTTGTTACTCTTGTATTTAACAAGTTGTTTCAATAAAGGTGATGAGATGTCCCTTGAGAGCATTGATGTCATTCTTGGCCTACAGCAATTAATGATTAAAAGTTTTGTGGAAGTTAGTGTCCTACCTTCTTGTCTAGCTGAGACTAACCACTTAGGTAGGATACTGTCCTGAGTTTTGTGGTTTGAAAGATGTATCTACTCACTGAAAACCTCCAGAACCCAGCCATGACCATGCTCATGGCCACTCTCCCCACATTCAGGCCAAGCCTCACCCATGAGTGAATCTCTGGGAAAACCTAGGTATGCAGCACTTTGTGACTGAGAACTCTGGGTTCAATGGGACGGGGAAAAAAGATCCTCTGCCTGTCCCCCCTATCTCTGATTGACTCAGCTCTCATGCCCATAAGCCACCTCTGGCTGACTGCAGATAATCTTATCATTGGCTACCATCCAGATTGCATGTCCTTCTCTCCCGGAAGGGAGCATATTATGACGCATGCCATAACCATACCACCGAACTCCTCACTAGGCTGTTTCATGCAAATCGTCCCAGAGGATTGGGGATGAGAGCCATCCCCGCCCTAAGAACCCAGTCCTGGCAGTCGAAAACCTCCAGAACACAGCTGCTTCCATGCTCATGGCCGCTCTCCACATGCTCAGGCAGAGCATCACCCACGCTGAATTTATTCCTGGACCGAGTGGCCGCACTTGCAGCCCTGGGATACTTCAAACCACACACCCTACCCATGTTCCAAGATTACGGTACCACATTTGACAGGGTTCAAAGTATGAGACAAGAACCAATTTTAGAGAGAAATATACACTTTTTTTTTAAGCACACAAGGCTCAACCTTGTAAATTATCTCTTATTGAAGGGCTCAATGGTCCCTGGGTGAAATACAACAATCTCCACACTCTTTCCTCTAAGAATACTTTTTTTTTGCTTTTTGGATCACACCCAGCAGTGCTCAGGGGTTACTCCTGACTCTGCACTCAGGAATTTCTCCTGAGATACTGGGAACTCAACCCAGGTCGGCCGTGTGGAAGGCAAACACCCTTCCCACTGTGCTATGGCTTCAGCTCTGTAAGGATACTTTTTTGTAGCATTGCCAATGGTTTTTCATAATAAACAATACAAAATACATTAATTTCAGTTCTGCTTTGGGTCAGGGATTGGGGTTCTGGAAGGAAACATCCAAAATATGGTGGTGGGAAGTTGTAATTGTGGTGGGATTGGTGTTTGAGTATTAAATGTAGTGAAATATTGAAGAACCTGCCGTCAGTACTCATCAATACACTGGCTCGGCTCTTCACTCGCTACCTGTCTGAATGCAAGGTTCCGTCCCAATGGAAAACCAGCAGGACCGTACTACTGTTCAAGAAGGGAGACATCCATGACATTGGCAACTATCGCCCGATCTGCCTATTGTCTGTCATCTACAAGTTGTTCACTCGAGTCATCCTGAATAGGATTGGCAGAACATTAGATGAAGGACAACCATGCGAGCAAGCAGGGTTCCGCAAAGGATTCAGCACCATCGACCATATCCACACAATAACCAAGCTCATTGAGGTTTCTCGGGAGTTCAAGATGCCGCTCTGCTTAACGTTCATTGATTTAAAGAAGGCCTTTGATTCTGTTGAGACGGAAGCGGTCATTGAAGCCCTAGCCAATCAGGGCATTCAAGCCCAATACATCAGGATCCTCCGTGAGCTGTATTGCGGATTCACTACCAGGATCTCACCATTCTACAAAGAAGTGATCGTTGATGTCAAGAGAGGGGTGCAGCAGGGTGATACCATTTCACCGAAACTCTTCAGTGCCACCCTCGAGAACATCATGCGACGACTGGAATGGGAAGGAATGGGAGTGAAGATAGATGGTCGGCAATTACACCACCTCCGCTTTGCTGATGATATTGTTTTAATAACACCAAACATCAGCCAAGCGGCACAAATGCTGGCCGACTTTGACCGTGAGTGTGGAAAGGTAGGACTACAGCTGAATCTTACGAAGACAATGTTTATGAGAAACAGCCTTGTTCCTGACGCCCCATTCGCTCTCAATGGAACGACCATCTCCGAATGCAACAGCTATGTCTACCTAGGTCGAGAGGTCAACATGACAAATGACCTGGCACCCAAGCTGCGCAGGAGGAAGAGAGCGGCTTGGAACGCCTTCAAGAACGTCGAAGAAATAGCTAAGAGGACGAAGAACCTCCGGCTCCGGGCACATCTCTTTGATTCCACTGTTCTTCCTGCATTAACATATGCCTCAGAGACCTGGGCCCTACGCAAACAAGATGAGAACGCCATTCAGGTCTCCCAAAGAAGAATAGAAAGAGCTATGCTTGGAATATCACGTTTCACTCAAATGAGAGAAAGAATCCGGAGTTCTGACATCCGTCGACGATCAAGGATCAGGGACGCTGTCTCATTTGCCAAGGTGTCGAAAATCAGATGGGCTGGTCACGTAATGAGATTTAAAGACGACCGTTGGACTAGAGCTGTTACTGATTGGATTCCACGGGATGTCAAGAGACCGCGTGGCCGCCCACCTACCAGATGGTCAGACTTCTTCCTGAAGATCATGAACGATCGGTTTGAGGCCCTTCATGTTCCCAGAGCGAACAGATGCCATTGGGCTACACTAGCACGCGACAGGGACAAATGGAGACGTTACTGGCGCCCGCTTGAGCAAATCGACGACTAACGGGAAGTTAAGTGATTAAGTGATTAAGTGAAATATTGTGAACTACTTTATAAATAAAAAATTATAAAAATTTAAAAATAAAGAAATATGTGTCCACTCATCTGTTGTAGGGGAACAACAGAAATGATACAATTTTTGTGTTTTGAATACATCACGGAAAAACCGTATAATGACCTTTGTGTGTTAAGGATGTCCACACCTTTCTACATGTTTTGCCAATGGAGACTATGCTTTGGATTCCTTTAATGACCAATTTCACCTTCTCTTCACTAAAAATGCTACTTAGATGATGTTTCTGTCATTTTCTGTATATTTGGTATATAATTATGTAAACTTGTTGTGTATATATCTCTACTGTGCTAACTCCTCATTCATCCTCAGAAAGGTTCACTAAGGGTAACTTTTGAGGAAAATCCCTTGATGTGAAAGAGAGAGAAACATTGGGATCCTTGAAAGAGAATGGTGGGTACAGTTGTGATGGGTGTGATATTGGAATTATGTGCAATACTGTTACCATCATTAGCAATATTGCGAACAACAAAATCTCAAAAAAGTTATGTAAAGATGGTTATTTACTCCTGAGTATAATGGTAATGGTGCCTTTTGCCATTCCCTTTCAGAGTTTTGCTCTCTCCCAAAGCTGGTAGAACAAGTTTCCCCATCTGTACATTGCCTTTATTCAAATAAACCCCTTCTGCTTTTACTAAACTAGTCTGTGGTTTTTGCATGAGCATAGCATAGGCGGTTTTGCCTAACCGATGTTGCTGTTGTCCCAAAATTCCAAACAGGATCAGACCACCGTCTCCTTTGTGCAAAATTCGACCTCACAGAACGAGGAGAAAAGAATGCAAGGTTTAAGAAGAGGACTCCCAGAACGACCACCAGCTGGGAGCTCTTTGGCTCTGTTGCAGCAACATGGGAAGATGCCGTCACTGACAACATTGATGAGGAAAACGATCGAATGATTCAGCACCTCCATGATTGTGCGAGGAATACCAAGAGAGAGATAACCACAAAAAACTGCCTTTCTTCGAACACTCTTGAACTTATTCGCCAACGTGGCTTGGCACATGCCTCAGGCAACCACAAGCGAACATCCGAGCTGGCAAAACAATGCAGAGAAGCCATCAAGGATGACCTCAAAAACAGGAGAGCATCAGTGCTGGTAGATGCAGCAGAAGCTGGGAAAAGCATTTGTAATGCCCGCCTGTCCTTCAACAACTACAGGACCAAGATGACTGCCCTCCGACATCATGATGGATCTATCACATCTTCCAGAAGGGCAATGGAGAAGATTATTCATGACTTCTACTCAGATCTCTTTAATAACCACGTTCACTTGCCCACATACCACATACCACATGATGGATATGTCGTTCCCAATGTTCTCCCTTCCGATATCCAACATGCCATCTCATCGGTAAAAGAAACAAAGAGCACCTGGCCCAGACAAGATCAGACCTGAACACCTGAAGAACTTACCATCAGTACTCATCAATACATTGGCTCGGCTCTTCACATGCTACCTGTCTGAATGCAAGGTTCCATCCCAATGGAAAACCAGCAGGACTGTACTACTATACAAGAAGGGAGACATCCATGACATTGGCAACTATCGCCCAATCTGCCTATTGTCTGTCATCTACAAACTGTTCACTCGAGTCATCCTGAATAGGATTAGCAGAACACTAGATGTAGGACAACCATGTGAACAAGCCGGATTCTGAAAAGGATTCAGTATCATCGACCATATCCACACGATTACTAAGCTCATTGAGGTTTATCGGGAGTTCAAGATGCCTTTCTGTCTAATGTTCATTGATTTAAAGAAGGCCTTTGATTCTGTTGAGACGGAAGCGGTCATGGAAACCCTAGCCAATCAGGGCGTACAAACTCAATACATCAGGATCCTTCGTGACCTCTATTGTGGATTCACTACCAGGATCTCACCATTCTACAAAGAAGTAATCATTCATATCAAGAGAGGGGTTCGGCAGGGTAATACCATTTCACCAAAACTCTTCTGTGCCACCCTCGAGAACATCATGCGGCGACTGGAATGGGAAAGCATGGGAGTGAAGATAGATGGTCGGCAACTACACCACCTCCGCTTTGCTGATGACATCGTTCTAATAACACCAAACATCAGTCA